CCGGGCAACTCCGCACAGAGCCAGGCTTCTCTGTGATTTATCTGTTGGACAGTGGGTGGCCAAGGGGCACCACAGGCAAACAGTTATCCAGCTCGATAATTAGGGAGGGGAAAGGCAAACACAAACACACCCAGGCTGACATTCAAAACAAAGTGGATATGTAACCAAGGATTGCTCACTATACCTCCCTAGCTCTTGTCTGCCGGTCTGTGAGGAGGGAGCTGTGAGGCAACAGCAGCACGGTTAGGAACTCATCAGTACAGCTTCCAGAAAAAGTACAACTCTGAGTCGAAATGTGAAGGCCCAAGTTGAGGGCCCAGCTTTGTGCTGAAATGATGGCTTGAGCGCCCTAAGTCTTTAGTGGGCCTTGGTGTCCTCACTTGTGAGAAGAGGGATTTGGACAAGGTATTCGCTAAGTAGTATCCATTTCTAAAAGATCTTCTTTCATTCGTTCATTCCTTAGTGCATGTATTTATGTATCTATTCAATAAACTGCAGACCTAACTCTAGACAAGGCATTGGCAATCAATGACCAAAATGCAGCAGGACTACTTTGTCACCATGGAAGAAACAGCATTTAGTATTGATTGTTTTTAGTTCCAAGGAGGGCAGTGATATTCCAACTTCTATTTTCTCAGGAACAGACATACCGCTTTCTTTATCAAGGAAAAAATATGATGGATGTTGTTTCTAGGTATCTTTCCAAAAAATCGCATATAGTCAGCTACTCTTTCCAGGCTGATTTGTCAGGTTTTATTCTCTCCTTCTCAGCCCCACCTTTGCTCCCACCCATTCCGTCCCACCCTCATCTCCATTACCAGGGTTCGGTTCCTTCTCATCATTTCAATTCAACTCAACTCAATTAAATTCACTTCTCACTCATGGGGCCTCTCTCAGTACAAGGAGCTTACGAGATGCATGGATTATCTTCAAGGAGCTTCCAATTAATCAAGTAAGAGAGACACACATGTAACATAAGAGAAGTCAGGACAAAAATATGTTTGGATAAAGAGGCAGTGAGGCTGGACCAGTCAGGGAGACTACAGAGCTCCGGTTAAACCAAGAGGGAATACTACCAATTACTCCACCTCTTTTCCAAGTTATCTGGAGGTCTAAACTATCCTTGCCATCCTTGTCTCCCATTTGCATGTAAATATCAATTAGCTCAAAACAATTTGATTTAATCTGCTGGTTACTGACATCTGGTAACCACATGATATTTTTATTGAAAGCATCAATGTTGTCATCACAAAGCTTTGTCACTGGACTCTAAAACCTTAGTCTTTGCTAAGTGATATGTCACTGGGTGAGTTTTTAACCTCTCGCTGCCTCAGCTATAAAATGGGGACAATACCTCTATCACAGTGCTGTCCTGAGGACAAAATCAGGTCACAGCAGTACATACCTTCTTCCTAGTATCAATACTCCCTAGCCCCCACTAACCCTGTCCAAACACAAGGTGAAATCCGAGCAGAGTGGCCAGAGCCCTGCCCGAATAGTTATTTATATGCCATCCTTCATTTCAATACTTCCGAATGGTAGCAGTCACTGCACCTTTACTGAGACACTAGGCAGGGGTATGGACAAGTCCCCAGCCACTTATCTAGCTTCTAAACCCAAACAGAAACTTCTTCCAAAGCTAGATAGAATTGGTCTCATTCCCACAAATAGAAATGAACACAAATCTACATAAGTCTGAGAACACCATGACCACATCACTACAGAGTCACCGCGTGCTGCAGAGACTGGCGACGTGTCCCAGTGCAGTCTGCACTTCCCCTGCCCTGTCTCCTCCCTTCTCCCTTTTCCCATTTCAGTCTGCCCTTCTACCTCTTTTCCTCCCTTTCCCCTTCGAATGTTAACGACGTCCACCAGGTAGCCAGTGAATTTCTTTCTAGCAGACCCCACTTTCGTCCAAGACACACACCAATCTCAGGAACCTGGAAGGAAGAGCCTGTTATTTAGGGTGGTTAGAAAGATGGAAGGCTCTCAGGGCTCTGAGTCTGCTCCGACCCCCCCAGCCGAAATCCAATATGTGCATGTGCACTTGTATAATCGTGAAACCATATGTCTGTTGGCTTAATTCTTCAGAAAAAAGAATCCAGAAAACTAAATTATAATCAGTCAGGATTATGATAAAACTAGCTTAGACTGATGTGGCTACAGTTCATTGATACTAGTATATATTAAATCAAAAGATTAGCACATGTGCTTCTTGATTTAGGATGTTCCAGATTCATGTACTGCAGAGCTGGTTAAGGACACCCATTTTGCTCTCTCCCACAGTAAGATTACCCATCTGGGGCAAGTAAACAGATGCATTCTAATGGGCAATCACTAGCAGAGAGTTTCTAACAATGTTGCACATTTAAAGCAATCCTGTCTTAAGCTTTTGTCCACTTCCAAGACCTCCAAGTTTCACCAGAGATTCAGGATGATGGCTTTTGTCAGTGGTCAACAGGGAGTTTGAAACGGACACCCTGACACCACTGTCCCCAGGAGAATAAGTCTGCAGTGTTTTGGTGTGGGCAACACCTCCCTTGTAGCTCTCTGGTTACTTGTGTGCTCTGAGAACACACCCTGCAGAGTGCATTCATCACAATAGCCTGTGTGTGACCTTTGGAAAAGTCCTTGAAAACAGTGAAACAAGAGTCTGAGTCGAAATCTGGAATCCATTCCAGTCTTACACAGGAAGAAAATTAGGCATAGAACAACAAAGCCCACAGTTCAGAGAAACCTGGGGAGGCTCTGGCTGACATTAAAATCAGGGAAGCGTTTTTTGTTTTTTTTTCCCCCTTCACTACTTTGTATTTCATAAAAACTTTTCATCTGAGCGGCCCAAAACTGCTAGAAAATACTGTATGGTTAGTAGAAGCATGAACTGGTTTCTCCAGTAAATAAAGTAAGTGGAATAAGAACAGAGATGCTGAGTGACCTGTTCGAATTCACTTACTTAACACTTTTCCAAGCTAAATGCTATTCTTCCAAACATGAGTGGCCAATACTACTACCATTTTTCCCTTTGGATTAATGTATTGGCAATAACAGGGATGGGGTGAGAGCTCGGGGCAGAGAGAATAGCTGTATTCCCTGAGCCCCAAGTCTGTGATGGAGTTCATTAGTGCAGACACCACAGGCCTGGAAATAGTCATTCCCTTAGAACATGAGTCAGCAGAGGGATGTGCCTGCTCAGTAAATTTAACTCAACAAACATTCTGGGGGGTAAAACGATTTTTATAAGTTCAGACCAACTCCCTTTGTTTCCAGCTAACATTATTCACAATTAATTTGCCATATCATATGATTTATTTCGTGCATATAAACGATTACAAACCTGTACTACCTTTTTCCTTCTTTGCCAGCAAGAAAAGATTTAGGACACTTCTGAGTCAAGTGGTGGCATAAAATCCAGTGAAAATCAATTGGCAGAAAAATTTGACTTGGAATGATGTTTTAGAATCCACCTAACATTTATCTGAAAGATCTCTCGAAAGGGTACGGACCCTCAAGCAAATAAGATTCAGAAGTAATCCATCTGAGGGACTATCTCAGATCCAAACCCGAGTACTAATTCATATACGTGAGGAACTTAATTTTGTTTTTTTCTTAAGTGCCTTCACGGTTCATTTTTTCTTTTCCTTTTTCAATCTTTCTTTTTTTTTTTTAAAAAAAAAAAACGTAAATGGCATTATTTGGTCTCCAAAACAGATGCCAGTTTGAACTTTATTCTGCCAGCAAGTATTTGGTTTGGCTCTACAGAGCTTGAGCTGCAAAAATATTAGCCGATTCCAAAAAGATTTAACGAGCTTTGCTGCAGCTGCCGGTGCCATTTGGCACATCACAGGGATTGTGGCACAGCAAAGAGAACTCTCTTGACCACAGATTTTATTTGCCCAAAGTAGCCAACACTGGGAGTTCAGTTGATTCGTTGGGTCGAGAAACTGCAAGTCAAATGAGTGAAGTTTCCAAGAGAAAGTGACCAAAGCAGGCATCAAAAAAACAAAAAAAACTCTTGCTGACATTGAAAAGGAAGTCACTGGGTCTGACTCCACCCCTGCACAGGAACTGATGGCCAACTTTCAGAACTGTCAACAACATCCTCATACCAACCACCAGACACAGTCTCTAAGGCTGCCAGTCAGCAGAACAGATGAATCTCCGACTTCTAGCAAAAGCCATCCTTATCCAATAGCAGATGCTAAGAAATGTGCTGTAGTATATTCTGCAGTTATCTGATACCTTACTAATTGTGGTGTCAGAAGTTAACTGTATGAAAACTGAGTGACCTACTTCAAGTAACTCCACTAAATATAACCAGCAAGTTAACTTTACATTGTAAAGATGGGCATGCATTGCTTTTACTAACATTTAGTAAAATACAGATGCATAAATCTATCACTGCGATTGGAAAGACTGACCTTACTGCACACAAATATCATATGTTAAAAGTCACTGAAGGTTGTCACCTGAAGTCGTGCATTTCAGTAAGGGTTGCAAGAAAATAAATCTCTCATCCTTTCAAATCAACATCACATCTAACAACTACAACAAAAAACACAAAGTATTTTCATAATAGTGTGTACTTAAGAATCAAATGTCTGTTTTAACAGCTATGGGGACAGGAAGAGTAGCACTGAAACTACCTTGAAGATAAAGAAGCTCTGGATTATTTTTGTTGTTTCACATGATGAACAAATATTCACACATACTTGGGCATATCTTACCCCAACTCTTACGGATCTCCTAAAACTTCTAAATGTTCCTTTTATTAACACCACATGCTGATCCAATGCTTGTTACATGATTATCTGACGCCGAGGGTCTATAACAAATATCCTCAAAGAGAGAGCCAATCTCTATACTGCCTTTTTATAGAAAGACCTATTCACCAAAACAAAGACAGAGCCCTCCATTGGGCTTAACCAAAATGTTGGAGTCAGAGTAGAAGTCAAAAGAAAAAGTCAAGCAATAATGAAATGATGATTATAACTGTTATTTACCATTTTGGCTTCTGAGTGCATTGGCTGGACTTGGGGAGAAGCACAGGGGTTACTGAGATTTGGACCTTGCATTCCCATGATGCTGGAGTTCACTGACATTTGTCTTTCCATCTAAGAGAAAGGAAAGCAACAGAATTAGAAGTCTGAGAAAGGCAGTCTAAGTCATAGCAAAGCTGCACTTCTCTTTCCGATGGATTGTTTAGCATTTCTTTGAAGAACTCCTGATTTCGAAAGTCTGTGGTTTGGTGTATGGTAAACAATGTACTCCTGGGCCTTGAACTCAAGCACACCAAAAAGTCATTCAAAGCTGTGCCTTCTATAGATGTTCCAGGGTCCTGCACGGTGGCTCACACCTGTAATCCCAGCACTCTGGGAGGACTAGGCAGGAGGATCACTTGAGGTCAGGAGTTCGAGACCAGCCTGAGCAAGAGCGAGACACCCATCTCTAATAAAAATAGAAAAAATTAGCCAGGCGTGGTGGCTGTGCCTGCAGTACCAGCTACTCAGGAGCTTGAGACAGGAGGATCACTTGAGCCCAAGAGTTTGAGGTTGCAGTGAGCTATGATGATGCCACTGCACTGTAGTTGGGGTGACAGAGTGAGATTCTGTCTCAAAAAAAAAAAAAAAAAAGATGTTTCAGGCCAAGGAGAACTACATTGTCATAGTACATCATTTCCAAACGAAATTACCCAATACTTCCACTTTTGCAAACACTCCAACTGCCACTAATCATGCACATTTTTATGGCTATAAATATGCATATTAATATATGCATAGAAAAATACTAAAAGGATATATAATATGCCAAATGATTAACTCAGGGTATGTATGGCTTTTTTTCTCTATATATATTTTATACAATACACATGATTCCTTTGGGTAATAAGAAAAAACAAACAAAATTAGTTTGAAAAGCAATGTTCTCAAATATGGCAGGCCTTCCTGGGGCTCTAGCTCATAACCATAATCAGAATGCTCCAGCTGTGTATTTGAGCCAACACCCAGCACATCTCTTCCCGGTTAACCTGGTCAAGATTCTACACGGCTGGAGTTCCAGGCCTCACCTCATAGCAGGGCGAGGCCTTGCTGACTGGCTCCCACACTGTCCTCCCGCATCGTCCTCCACTGGCCTGCCACCGTGTCTCGAAGGAAGATCATTCCAATACCTGAACCGAGTTCTGACATTTTCATCTCCAGGGTATTCCCATTAAGAAGTAAATACAGCCAAATTTCTACGTTAGTCCAGGAAGGGTGTGCCTGATTAATAATATTTTCCATTTAGTGGAAAATTAACGCTTTTCAAAGAAGGATACTAAATCAAGTACACTTAATACTAAAATCACACAGAAAAAATAATTAGACTTTCTTTGGGGGAGAGAAATAGATTCTTTAATGCAAATGTGTTTCCATTTATTAAAGGATGGAAATGAAAACAATGGTTGGAAACTTTAGGGAACCAGGTTTCTGCTCAAAGTTAGCCTAGGTAGTCTAGGAAAATACGGCATTCCTTGTCACTGGAGGTGTCCAAAGAGTGGAGGGCGGAAATCTCACAAACAGGAGTGAAGCTTGAGAGTGACAGTTGAACTGAATGGCCCTTAAAGGTCCCTTCCATTGTTGATACCCCATGACTGCAATTCCTGTTGTGTCCGCCCCAGGGGCAGGGGTTAGTAGAGGCACTAGCTACGGGCGTTCTCCCGACTGAGCGGTGGATATTCCCTGTGACAGTGAAGAACCGTCAGCCACACCTTAGCCTGAATTAGCTAAGCAGTCATCTGGTAGCCTGCAGATGTGTGAAACGTTTCCAGAGGAGCTAATGAAGGCCAATTTTCTGTACATTCCAGAGTACTTCAGTACAACTTTTTGAGGCCTTCCCAAGTCAGTAAAATAAAATGTTCACTCCCACGTATCCCTTACATCTTTGGACAGCCTAGGCACTCTCATTTTCTTAAATTATTTTTTAAATTGTGGTAAAATATACATAAAACAAAATTTACCATTTTAACTTTTTCTTTTTTTTCCAAGATGGGGGTCTCACTATGTTGCCCAGGCTGGAAAGCAGTGGCTGTTCACAGACATGATTACAGAGCACTGCAGCTGCCAACCACTGGACCTAATCCTCCTCCCGAATAGCTGGGACTACAGGTGCATGTCACCACGCCCAGCTCATTTTAACCATTTTTAAATTAAGTGCATTAAGTTCATTGTCATGAAGTACATTCAGGTACTCTAATTGTTAAATCATGAAGAATTTAAGAGTTTCATCGCCCTAAAAAATGCATATTCCTTATAATCCCTGCTTCCAGAGGCTGGTGGGTGGGAGAGGTGATTGACCCCTTATTCCAATGGTGACCCTCTCAGAAAGGGAAGTCAAAGCCCCAAAGAGCTTTTGCTTTCAGTTTTCCAAAGAAGGATCTTTCAGAAATACAAATGATTGCCCAGAGTCTTCTACGCTACTAGTTATACAAAGAGATGAGAGTAGCCGGCTCATGGCTTCTGGATCTGGGGTCAGCAATGCTTCCCACTTTTGGGGCTCACAAAATACTGGTTTTAAACAGGCTGATTTCTCTATCTGTAAAAAGAAAAAAAATTGCATTTTCATCTTAATGACTGTTGGCTTATAGACACAGAGTGTCAGCAAGAGCCTCTTCCAAACAACTCTTTGGTGCTTTGCATTAGGAAGGCTCTGTCTGCACCACGAGCACAGCTTTATGAGTTGGGAGTGGCTGGCTGAATACTGGACATTTAGCATTGCAGGTAAAACAACCGAGATTTCATCTTTTTCACACACTGGAAAACAGAAGCTAGAATTTCTGTAGTTCACTGAACTTTTTAAATTATAAATGGGTGCTCATATTCCTGAATTATCAAAGTATTTGCCTTTCAAGATAAGACATCACAACCCAGTGACCTCCTTGAAGGCAGTGCCTGCCATGTTCTTCACCGTGTCCCCAGCACCTAGGTGAAGCGTACATCACACATCGAAGGTGCTCAAGAAAAGTTTGGAATGGATGAATGAATCAACACATCGTTTTGTTTCAGACGAGGCTTTGTGAAATGTGTGGCCTGGCAGCATACATTACAAACACAGACTTATCTTGTATGCCCAGGGAATCTTGGTCTCCCAGGGTAGGAACTCTAGGGGAAGAGGCTCCCCTGTGACCAGGCTTGAAATGCCAAAGTTATAGCACAGGAGGTGGTGACTGATAATAAGGAAGAAAAGGTCCAGGTTTCCACGGCCTGGAACTTTTAGGATATACTTTTTAGAGATCTTATATTAATCATTATTAATTGCATTCATGTCACTCAAGACCAGGGCTTCTCAATCTCAGCACACATTGGCACGGTATTGACATAATGGGCCAAACAACCCTTCGTTGCGGGGCTGTTCTGTGCATTGTAAGATGCATAGCAGCATCCCGGGCCTCTTGCCACTAGACGCTGGAATCTGCCCCCCATCCCAGTTGTCACAACCAACAGTGTCTCCAGATATTGCCGAATATCCTCTGGGGGACAAAATCACCCCCAGTTGAGAGCCACTGCTCCAGACTGACACCTACTCTTGTGGCAGCCGTACACAGCACTGACATAGGTTAGGCAGCTCCCGTGGGGGCAGTGCTGGACCATGAACTTGAACCCTGGCTTCTACTCTGAGGCATTGACAGGAGGTCAAGTTGTACGACGAGATGATGCTGTCAGCCAAAGTGTCTCATTTTTGTCCCTGGAAATGGTACACAGTTTAGCCAAATGGGAAAAAGGGTCTCAACAGTGGTATTTTTCTGGACAATGCATAGAAGTTCTAAAAGGAAACTGATTTTGGACAAGAGGAATTTAAAGCCTAAACGAAGACAGCTGTGGTGGAAGTCTTCATGCAATTAGTTGGGTTGAATAAAACCTGGGATAATTGCACTGATGGTGCTGTTTTTCCTTCATCTAAAAGGCTCTTAGGAGAGGGAGGCAGGTAAAGTCGATTGGCTCAACCTGTCCTCTGGCCTAATGTTGCAAAGTCAGTTTCTAACTTGGAAACAGGTCTGCTTCTCTAAACTGAGTCCGCCAAGTGCTTCTCCATTCCCCTGCCTACACTTAGACAAAGGAGCAAATTGCTCAACCCAGGGCGAGCTACTGATGAGCTGCTCGGTGTGAACTGAGATGTGGGTTCCAGCCCCAACTCTTCACTCATAAGCTGTGCGACATGAGACAACTCCCTTCGACTTCTTATTCTTTAGCCTTTCATCCGTAAAATGGATATATCAGTAATTACTGCTACCATATCCCTGCAGGATTGCTGTGAGGATAAAACGAAATAACAATATACACAGCTCCTTAAAATGCTAAAATGCTCTGCAAGACACTGTTGATATTGTTGTGGGAGGATTTTAATTGAATTGTCACATTGTCTCGAGGGCTTTTGAGAACTCCTGTGGCCCTGTGAATGAGAACCCCAGTCATCTTTACCAAAGCACAATGCCAAGGAGGACGGAGAAGACTGCAGGGAGAAGATCCCGTGGAGGGTGAGAAAGGTTTCCTCTGAAATAGTCTGTACCTCCCTTCTATGTTTATCTACTGTTTTTTACTGTTTATCATTATATAATGATTATAAGCGGAGACTCAGGAGTCAGACTTTTGGATTTAAATCCTGACTCCATCACCTACTAGCTCTGTAATCTTAGTTAAGTTACTCCACCTCTGTGCCTCAGTTTCCCCATCTGTAAAATGGGTATAATACCAGTGCCTACCTCACAGGTTTGTTGTGAGAGTAAAAGGAGAAGACGTAATGTAATGTCGTGGTTGAGAGAGTGAACTCTGGAGCCAGAATTCCTGGGATCAAAACTCAGCTGCTTTGCTTCTCAGCCTAGCGAGTGACTTGCCTTAGTTTCCTCATTCCAAAAACAGGGGTAATAGTAAACCTACCTCGTAGGGTTGTTTCACGTGTTGACAGAGCAGTTGGAAAGTGACCAGCAGGTGGAAAGCACTCAGTCAGTGCTGCTAGCATGATTGATAGAACATGATACACATGAATACATGTTAGCAGCTGTTATGTATGACCGTTGCTATTGTTGTAATTATTGCTCTGAGTCCTGGCTAGCCCACTCGCTGGCAATTTAAGGACAATCTATATATAGCTCAAGCTATAGACTTTGCAGTGGTTATAAAACACTGTCTCCCTGAACAAATGCCATTTCCTGGGTCACAGGCTCACTCGTCACCAGCAAGAAGATTGGGACCCTGTCTCATAGCAAAGCATTGAAGGGCAGGAAAGCCAGCAAGGCACCTAGGGATGGGCGACGGGGCCCTCAAAGCAAACTGGCACACAGCTCCGCCCTCCATGCAGGAGCACTCGCCTCCTCTCCTCTCAGCTTAGCTCTCAGCTTTTCCTTTCCTCTTTCAAGAGTGGCAAACTTCGATGCAAGTGACAGGTTACTGGGAGACACACAGAAACACTTACTGGCATCAAGACAGCGGAAGATCCTGGCATGGTGGGGTTGGGCAGGGTCCCGGGCATGGAGGCTGGCATGGGCTGTCTCTGTCTGTTGTGGAGCTGTAGCAGAGAAGATAGAGAGCCTGGGACAGGCCTGGGACAAAGAAAAAGAAAACAAACATTATTCCTAATGCCCTGGGTCTGTTTCACCAGTGTCCAGAACCGCAAGGACAACACTGTCACATGTGCAGCAGATCGGATCCACTGATGGGAGAGCCACATAATTGAGGATATTAGGGAAATAATAACAAATAAAACACCAGCCTGGTTTCCTTTGCTGCTTCCTAGTTAATACATCAAATTCCACTTCATTTCCTGACCTCTGTTATCTAACTGATGTTCAACAGAAACAAGCCAGTAGAACTCCTACAAGCCCCGCATCCTAGGAAAGGGACATCATGGTGAAATCCTGTGTTTACTCAGAAGTCTCAGCCCTCTGGAGTGTCTCAGAGCCTGAGAGCTGTGCACATGTATTTCAGCCACAGTCTCCAACACCTCTTCCTGGAAGCCTGCCTGGCTTTGCTCTGGGTACACTTTCGCTCTCTGGATTTGCAGAGCAAACTTCATTCATGAATTCCCGACAGAAATCCGTTTTGATTTTTTTCATAGCTCTCCACTGTGAGTGGAAAAAAACCAAAGTCAGGACACAAACCAAAGCAGCCGGATCTCGGGGCGGCAGCACAGCTGGCCTTTCTCAGGGCAAGTCCAGAGCACGGCCTCCAATTACCAACCGCTCATTTCATAATAACTTGAGGTGTTAGGCTGTTTGACAGAAACTGATTTGGGCCTGACCTGTAGGACTTGGGTAAGCGCTCCTCGGGGGAGTACTGTACGGAGTTTGAGCTTTTGCTTCAATTTGCCAGAAAAAAAATTTTTAAGGGCCTTAAATTGATTTAATGAGCCAGGGAATGTGGGGCTGAGGGAAGAAGGGAATTATTTGTGTTTATTAAAAATGGCAAACAAGTGACCTCCCCAGCTAAATTCTCAGTCTCCTGATGCGTTTGCTCTGGGGAGCTGTATAAATGTCAAGCCATTAAATTCGGGACTTAACAACAAACAAATAAAACAGAACAAACAAACAAAAACCTCTCAGGACCTATGAGTCTTCCATGTTACAACAACCTTATACTGCATGTCATGCTGCAAACTGGTGCTTGCAGAATTAATGCATTTTCTTTAAAAAGAGAGAGAGAGAGAGCGTGCACGAGTTTGACTCCCTCGTGCTAAGTGCTGGGCAGAGGTTGCAGACAGAGATGCTCTGTGTGGGCCAACACCTTCCCTCCCTGCAGGGAAGGACAGCCCTGTCTAGATCCCCATCGGAGTAGCAGAAGGAGCCACTTCTTTGGAGTCCCTTTGGCTCCTATGGAGAAGTAGGGGACTGATGCGAAGAAAGAATGCCATGTTCTTCCTTTGCATGGTTATTAGAATTCCAAAGAAGATGAAGTTTTAAACTTTTGCCCCAGAGCTCTTCTGGAGAAATAGAGCTAACCCCACAGTCGCACATCATAGGATTAGTCATAAAATCAGTGAAGATTTATGATCGGCTTGGGAAGGTGTACATGTGAAAATATAAAAGAATAGAAAGCCTTTCCACAGAGGTGATGTGGATGCACACGAATGACACTCACTTCTAGTAATAGGATGTGCGTATGAGCAGATACGTAGATAGGCTAATGTAAGTCGCTTTGCACCAAGGAAATGAGTGTTTTCAGATAAGCAAGTGAAGTACTGTGGGTATTCCTTGGCACGTGCCCTTGGGACCTCAGGAGGAGTACGGATTGACCATAAGGACTAGCGGGGCCTTGGAAAGCCCTTTAGCTTTTACAGTTCTAGGAGACTGCTGATGTCCATTGCTCCGAAATGCTACGGCAGGTTGTGACTTCACTGGGTCTTAAGGTCTCTTTCAGAGATGGCTAACTCTAGTCAGACAGGTATAGGATATGGCTCAGCCAGCAGACAATGTTGGCCTGTATCCTCCAGTCTTATTGTTTAGGAACTTTATTGAAAAGAAAATAGTTGTATATCAAAGCATACAGAGTCAGTTTAATAATAGTTCCTCTAAATTCAAGATTAATAATCGGAACCCCCTAGTTTCATACTGAGGAAGATAGATTCATTGAGAGCACCCCTACATACAGGTAATCACCTAATCTCAATAGATGTACAAACATACATACAGTGTTTTACCATATGCCTGTTTCCCGAGTCACCAGGGGGAATGCTTTGAGTATAGACAAGGACAAACAAAACCTGTTATGGAAAAGACAACTAAAAACATTTCATTTTATTGTGTTGGTTTGCAATATCATACTCACGGACAAAGCGCAATATGTCATCATCATTTACATTCTATCTCTTTTAACCTGACATGTTAAAAATATCCATGGTTATCAGCTTTTACTGAAGTGTTCTTTTTTAAAAAAAAATCAATTAAACAACTTAATGGTGATGCGAATGGAGATGCAAAAATATTTACATTTAAAATGAATTTTCATTTCTCTCAGAACTATGGAAAACTCCCAGTTGTATAGAATAGTTTGGGAATGGTATGTTTTGTGTAATTCAATGTTTTTATTAGCTAAGTTATTTCTACACTTTGCATAGATCTATCAGATTTTAAAATACCAAATATTCCCTCACTAAGATAGCCTTTCAGGGTACTGAATTCCTTGGGATTATAACAATAATTTCCTAATGATACCAATCAGACTAATTAGCAATGTATACTTGGAGGGAAAAATGATCATTTGAGATATATATATGTTTGGATTCTGAATAATTTTGAGGTTATTGTTTTACACAGATTCTGCAAATTATTTCCCCAAACTCCACCGACCAAACTGATGGAGTTTTTTTAGCTTCTTGTTTGAACTATTAAAACTACAAAAACTGTAAAAAGTAAAATCACTGTATCTACCCATCATTAGGTATATAAAGGACTAGACCGAGGTAATTATCGATATAGCTAGGCCTAAGAAACAATCATTTGTCCAGAATATTCGTATCATTGAAGCAAGAGTCGTACTGGAATAAATCGTATTGTCTAATTCCTTTTGTTTATATTGAAATAAGAATTATTATTATTTATACATTCAAAGTACATTCACGTCCCCGATTTTATGTAACTTGAAGGAAGGTCCTATTATTCCCATTTTACTCAGGAGTATGCTGCATTCAGAAACAGTTAAATTTGTCTAAGGTCACATGGGTCATGACAGGGAACAGGGCTTATACTCAACCTGCAACACCTTGATGGCTCCCATAACTACGTTATTATTGATTTTTTGTGCTAAAATAAATTCGCAGTTCATTTCCTTTGATAGTCACACTGTTCCCTGGACTTTCTATGCAGTAGTAAATTACTGTAATACTGCTAACATGAGAATTCACTCATCCACGTGAAATTACGTTTTCTTCCTCCAAAAGGAAACAAAACAAAATTTCCCAAACAACACATCAGTTAGACTCTGAAAATAAGATGGCAAATTGCAGTAAAGTTGTGAAAACAAAGACCCAACAGTCTTTCTCCAGTGCAGGCTTGTTGCCATGAGCTAATAATTCCAGACTTTGAGCAAGCCAAGCCTCCTTTTTAATAACCATATGCCTCTAGGTAAAGTATTTCTACTAAAAATTATTGAGGCATGGAACAAGGTAAGATGTGTGAGCTCATGTTGGATTGTTCAATTACTACACTGAGTCCTGCAGCATTAAGAGTTTTCCAGCTTGACAGATTATTCCTCTTTATACACTTGTATAAACATACTGCTTATGGTTGAAATCTATGTAAGCTTTTCTTTCAATTAAAATGTCAAGGAAGACAGACTGTTTTCACTGTCCTTAGCAGAACGACAGGTACCACAGCAAGCAATTTCATGTCCTCATTTTTCCCCCCAAAGGATGTTTTCCAGTCTAGGGGTGTCTGAAAAGCCTGAACTGCGTCTACAGGTCTTCCCTGCCCTTGGGCCAGCCTATCTTCTGGCCAGTGCTTTGGTTTGGAAGGTTTGAGGAGGGTCTCTGCACACTGCTGTCCTCTCCCAGGTCCTCAGAAGATCTGTGCCACCCCAGGATCATCCATTAAACTCTCAGGACAGACAGATCTGCCACGTATGTGATCAGGCCAAGGATGAAAAAACTTAGATTAGAAAATTGGAAGATGTGAGTTTGTATGGAGGGTTCATTTGCCAAAGGGGGGGAAAAAATTGGAAGATCAATGTTAGCACTGAAAACAGACCATAAACATCGAAGAAATCTGGAGAAGATAAAAAATACTAACATAAGGACTTGATGGGGAATAGAATTAAAAAAAACCAAAAAGCCTCAGGGAGCAGGAGATCCAGATGCCATCGCTGTTAGAGTTGCTGGCTCTGGGGCAAAGACCTTCTTAACTTTGAGGCATCATCTGTCTAATGAACAGATTGGACTACAGGCTATCTCAAAAGCCCTGGAAGCTCTAAAATTCAGATTCTAGGGCTCGAAAAGGAGATGTTCTTAATCAGACTATAAATTCCATCGTGATAAGGGTGTCATTCACTGCACACTGAAGCATCCGCAGTACTTAATCCAGCACCTGGTACACAGTAGGTGGTCAGTGTCTACATTCAATGAAATTGAGTTAGTTCTTAACATCAAGACTATATCTGAAACATGACTAAACCCCAAATATAAGGTGTTCCTAAAAAGTAAGAGAAGTTGATTAAGGACTACATTCCATGGGGCCCGCACTTCTTTCTGACTTAAACGCAACATATTTTCACACAGATTAGGAAAAGAGCATTGCTCGCCATGCTTGTATCTGTTTATGGAAAGAAACGTGTACTTCCTTTTGACCTTCTCAAACGAAGCATTGTGGTCTATCTTGGCAAACTAGTTTTTGTCCGGGAGGAGGAGATTGAAATGCTAAAGAGGGAAATATAAATTCTTAAATATTAAGAGAAAGTAGTTTCTAATGCAAAATGCTTATTTACTCATTCTTCTCTGATGTGAAATTTTACAATTTCTATTTTTGTAAAGAAAGCAAATTGTCAGGGTAATCAAGTCGAATGTGAAATGGAAAGACAATATACTTAGTTTCTTCCACGGGTAATAGTTACATTG